CACAACAACTAACCGACTGTAGTGAAAGAGAGAGAGAGAGAGAGAGACCAACCAACACACAAGGAAATGGCAGAAGGCATAATTACCACGCTCATGAGTGATGACTGAGGAAGGGAAGAAAGTGCAGTAAACCAAAATGAGAAAAGGAAAACAGGGGGAAGAAAGAAAGAGAGAAAGAAAGTAAGAAACAAAGAAAGAAACAAAGAAAACGATTACATAGAGGGAAAAGAGCTTTAAAAAAAATCCCAATTTGGTTGTTTGGTCAACATGGAAAAAAAATGATGAGTTGACAAAAAACCTGTCGAGCTCAGTAAAACTCAAAAAAGAATCTAAAAGAAATATCTAAAAATATATATAATACCAAGCCCTTGTGATTTATGTATTTTTTGATTGTAGACTCATGGTGAACCTGTTCAGTTAAAAAGCTGGTTAATGTGATTACTTTTTATTTTCAAGACAACGATGAGGAAATTATGAGTAGAAAAACATTAGTTATAGTAATTACTGGTTGAATTTTCTCTTCATTCTGCACATTCAGGGTTTGACAACAATATAATTCAATTCAGTAAAAAACAGTTGGATAAACACATATTAGCTGTCCCTTTCACCTCAAATAGTATCATTGCATTAATAACGTATGATATTGTGCAGCAATCATTAGAGCAGCATTCACGTTCTGTAGTAACGACAAAGAACCAGTAATCAACTAGCAGAGACTTCTTAGTTTAAAACTTCATGAAGCCAGGATACATAAACTGAGCAAAGATAAAAGACAAAAAGATTTTAATCTTTATTTGATTTTTTAAAATCCCACAGAGTAAAAAGTATATAAGTGATAATACAGATATTAGGTTATAACCAATTATAGGAACCGATTGGCTATTGGTCGGACAACGATTTAACCTCGGGAAGCAAGCAGCTATTTTTGGGGGGTTCCTGTGTAACCTGCAGATATCCGGGCCAAGACTTCCTCTTCCGTACACCAAAAAAAAGTTTACCGAATAGCAATTTGAGACGCGAGACTGCAGTTGGAGTTGAGAGACGATGTCAAGAGCAGATTGTTTCACAAGTAGCCAAGCTCATTTTAAACCAATAAAAAGCTAACTAATTGCAGACATAGTATCTCCAGTTTGAGCTAAACCTATCGAGAAAGCAGCCGTGTTGATAATACAGTCAGACAGTACCTCCAGCTCAGACATGCCTGCTGGGAGTTTAGTCCAATCAGATCGTGGCTCAACTGTAAACAGCCTCTCAGAGCCAATCAGGGACTATTTCACCTACCCCCAGGTGGATCCCGCCTACATTAGGTAGCTCTTTACTTGTTGTACTTTTTCACAAGAACCTATCATTTTTATTGGGTGAAAATAACTTGATAACCCTCCTGCAATTAATCAACTATTCAACTTGTCTTTGGGAGTAGTTGATGACTACTAAAATGAAGCAGTCGTGAATGCCCTTCCTCTTTCGCTCTCCACACAGGCATGCAACCAAAAGCCCGCTCAAACGTTCTGCATAGAAATGTAGAGTCTGTTCATAAAGTATATGTCATACCTGACTTAATTGACTAGCAAGACTTCATGCTTAAAAAACAGGAAAAAAGTTTTGTCGGGTCCTTCCAAAATGTGTTTTCTGTGAGTAGTGTGAGCAGGTAAACAGTCCATGTGGAGAACAAAACAGTGGTACAAATTGGACAAAATGCAATCTGGGAACCCACCGGCTATCGTCCAATGACAATTTTGTCACAGCTCTGTCACTTCTGTCTAGCTTTTTCCACCTTTCACTCACCTAATCAGTTCATTCAGTGCACCTGCCAGTCACACTCACCTCATCAGCTCATCACTCTCACCTGCTCACTCTGCCTCTTCACTGTTTAAACCCCTGCCTCACACACACTCACTGCCAGATCGTTCTCTGCATTCATGCTAAACTTTCCCACATTCACCCATGGACTGATTCCCTGTTGCCGACCCTGCCTGTTTCGGACTACCTCGCCTCTGCCCTGGTAACTCGCTCAGCCTTCTGTCCCCGACCATGAGAACCTGCCGCTGTTTTTCTGTGGATATTCTTCCTGTTGTGTGTGTGTGCCGAAGAAAATAAAGTTTCGAGTCAAACTATCCCTGGTGTTTGTCGTACTGCTCCTGGGTCCTTACTACATCCGTAACAAATTTAGCTTTTCTGTTTGCTTAAATTAGCTTGTAAACTGGCTACTTGTGAAATGATCCTCGTTGTCTCTCAACTCAAACTACAGTGTTGGGTCTAAAGTTGCTAATCGGACTGCAAAAAGTTGACCACTGCAAGGAATAATAAATCCCAGAAATATTGGCAGCTGCCCGCAGAGGCTAATAGCCAATGGGTTCAGAGATTGAACGTTAACAGTTAGAAAAACAGGCGGTCATGGTTCAGGTTTGGAAAAGATCCTTCCATGGTTTGAAGAAACCAACTCTCTGTGAAGGAAAGTCAAACGCCATAATGCAAAGTCTGTGCTCCCAAACATTGATTGTGAGCTCCTCCCTGAGAGGTTTTATGGTAGGACACACTATTCCTACTTTGCTACATGGAGAATATTATTCGGTAGTTATGACTGTATTTCAAAATCTAGTGCAACACAATAGTAAAACAAAGGAGATCTGAAGTATCAGTATGCAATCCAAAGGATGATTGTAACAAATGCATACACACATTAGATGTAACAGTCAAATCATAAGCACGTACGCATGTACACTAGGAAATCCCACTTAATAATGCATATAAAAAACAGATAGTACTGCATTACCACTTCATGAAATTCAACAAATTGCTCAACCAAAGTGATGAGAGGATAAAGAAAAATGATTTGACAAGGATAAAACACAGACACGCTTTCCATTTCCTCTTAGGAAAGATTTTAAATAAGAGGAAGAAACATTTTATATTAGAATTAGCATCCATCTACTAAACCAATGGATTCAGCAAGCATTGGTTTTTAGATGTAGGTTTGAATGTACAATTTTCAATTAAAGTGGCAATTTTGAATTTGACCTGTATCTGGTGAAGAAAAAGCATGTTTATATCAACAAACCATTGTCAGTAAACACCAATCTTGAATTCAGAAAAATGATTATTCAAAGAACCTTTCTTTCTATTGTTATGACCTTGAGATATAAAGAGTAGTGAAGCTTACCTGATCCCTCCTCTGTCACCATTCCCAGTCCTTCAGCTTTGTTCTGCCTCTCAAATGCATTTAGATCCAGAACACTGAAACAAAATCAAATGTAGTGTGGATCTCTGATATGTTGCGCTGTCTTCATTGACCATCCTCCAGAGTACCATATCACAATTTTATTTTAATGTGAATATTTCAATCTGCTCAGCAGAAAACCATCAATGTGATAACGTTGTTATATTTCTTTCAAGTTCTACCCAACAAGGACATAGCACTGACCCTACCTGGCAAAAATAAATGAGCCAATATGAGTTAATGTATAATATAGTATATGGCATAGTGATGGCTAACAGGATGTGCTCGTATTTGTTTTGTAACAAATACGAGCACATCAGCCACCTTCCTGAGAGGCTGTAGGTTCAGTACAAGAGGAAATAATGATGTTGATGTGTGTATATTAGTAAACACTAATGATCATAACAAGCTCAGTGATGAATCCAAAGATAAGGCTGAGTTTCAAAAGTGCCTCCTTAAAGGAATGCTTAATTACATTTTTGTTGTCCTATGTTTACAGAAAAAAACATAATGCACTGGCCAATTTTGAAATTTTGCTTTCTCAGTGGCGGGCTGTGCATTTCATACCTGGGCCTTCACTCCTGTCCTGCAGCTGGAATACCACCTTATAACCACATGATGGCGCCACAGCTATTATTCGTTTCTAGGGCTGTTACTATATACGTATTTGTATTAAACCGTTCGGTACGAAGCTTACAAACCGAACAGTACGTTTGAATAATACTAGTGCATTTGGAACATGCAGAAGCTTAAACTGTGGGAAATATATTGTTTTCTGCGCTCATGTAGGACAGTGGTTCTCAACTGGTCTGTCTGCGGGGTCTACCATCACCCCTTAAAGACCAGCCGCGACCCACTCTTCTCTTTTGGACTCCGTCGTATGATTTTACTTTCACAACTAACGTAACAAATGTACTGCTCTCCTTCCTCGTCTCAGCCCTGTGTCCCGGTGTGTGTACATCTCACTCGAGTCAGGAAACTTGTCAGAATGCCCATATTTGATTGGCTGAGCTGCATCATGTGAGAAATTTAGGTTTTGAAGCTCCTAATTATGGATATTATGTGATACAGTGTATTTACTTGTAAAGGTTTTGACTCAAGGAGTGTTGTCATTTCATGCATTGAGTGAAAGAGGAGGGTTTGAGGAATGTGCTGGAGGGGGGGTTGTGTGAAAGTGGCTGGGCGAGGTGTGAAGATCAAAACAATGGATCAACGGCCCAGGAGGGGCTTGTTGGACTTCAGCCAATCATTGATCGATATGTAATGTGAGACTTTTCAGAGACTTTGGGGGAAAAAGGAGATGTCAATCCAGGAGAGATTCAGACCTCCTCGGTACCATGGGGCAGATACACCAATCTGTCGTGTGGTGCGGACGGGGCCTCAATTTCATGGAACTTATATGTTTGTTTTGTTATTAGTAGTGTGATTCGGTTTGTAACTGTTTGTATCTGTTTTTATGCTTCTTGGATAATAAATCCATCTGATTTTGACTTAAACCTGCTGTTGTGTTTTGGAGGCGATTGAGAGCACATGGCTGCAGGAAAGGGGGCGATTTCTCCCTGTGTTCAAAAGTTATGGACCTAACAATCACGTGATCGTTTCACGATAATCACGTGCTCGCCCACTGACCAATCACAGCACACGCTGTACCTCACTGCAGAGCTGCACATGGAAACTGAGCTGCAGTAATGCTGACGTACTTGTAGTCCAGCTAGCAGGCTCTGACACGTCAAAGAATACGCCCAACATGTCAAACTAAAGATCTGATTGGTTGAACACTATGACAATCAACAATATCGTCCCCATTCACTTAAACTGCACATGGATGCACTTGTGAGTCTGCAGGCCTCTGCCTCTCTTCTTACCTAGAGACACAGAGGTGAAATCTGATTGGATAAAAGCTCTACTTAAAACAAGCTGCACTGGAAGCAGAGCAACTGAGGAAGACAGGAGCTGTGCAATGAGAAAATAAGACAATGGGAAAACAAATTACAATACATGTAGTGTATTTAAGAAAAAATATTAAATTATAAAATAGCTATAACTTTGTGATTCTGTTTAGGCCAGCAGAGAAGGCTTTGCAGGCCCTGATGGCCCACCACTGTGCTTTTATAACATAACAAGAAAACATCACAAATACACATTCTGGTGTGTATCTTTGTTTATTTGCATCTGTAGATTTCTCCTAAATTCACCAAAAGTTACCATTAGATAATACCTAACTTCCATATTTAAACAAAAAATCTGAAAACTTGTCATACAAAAAAATAACTGTCTTAATGTCAGTCATCAACTGTAGTGTCTTTGTCATTGAACTAAACATCTCTTTAAGGCCATTTTATCTAAATGAGTTTGTTCTCAGACTGATCCAGAAATCTCCATTTCAGCAGCTCTTTCATACATCAAACTTTACCATTTCATTCCTCTCTATATTCTGAAGGTTTGTACATATATCATTCAGAGCCTGATTTATACAACATGTTATTCCTAAAAACTTATAACTATTTTCTGATTTATGAAGTGATACAAAGAGATATCGAAGTTTCCATCTGTAAAAACCTTTGACTCTAATATTTAAACAAAATGAAACAATAGTTTGAATTTGTTTATCCAATAATCAGATTTCTGTTCTGGAAATGTATGCAAATGTGCACCTATTCATTAAGATAATGCATCATTTGCATATTTAAACATGTCTTAATTATTTCAGAAGACTTGACATACAAAAAATAATTGCAGAAAGTAATCAAGTGTGGAAGTGTGTCGCCGAAGTCTTCATGTGTGTACAGCAATGGTGAATGGGGAACCTGTGGGTTATTTTCCTTCACCTATATAAAGTACTGTATTTAGGAATGTTATTAGTTGCCTGTAATTATTACACAGGATAGGATTAGGGTATGTTATTGTTATTATTTGATGTTTACCTGGCGTGTATAGATTGTGACAGGGGGGAAGTGACGCGAGAGGAGATGGTGCGCGCAAACAGAGGGAAGCAAGTGACGTTTGGTGGACTCGGAGAGCACGTTTTGCCAGCGATTGATCGGCAAAAAGGATCCGAAGCAAGAGTTTAATAACAATCTTTAGTACGGTCAATAGGTACCCGATTAGGGTAATGAGACCGGTGCCAAGTTTTTAAATCAATCCTCTTCAGATGAGTCATGATTGAATATCTGTTAGACTATACGTGGGAGTCGGGGAATCAGCGTTTATTAGGAGAAGGTGTAATAGTGTAAGTGAGGATGCTGCTTCCAATCTGCTGCTCGCAACTTAAATGTATTTAAGGAAGGGCTGTCGACTGTGTCCTGCCTTAAGGTATTCCATGCCATGCTGATTCTGGCTGTGAAAAAATTTGCCCTGATGCCAGTTTGATGTTGTATTTGTAGTTTCTGACTGTGGCCTCGGGTTGTAGTTGATAGTGATGGCCGTAGCATGGAATTTCCGCAAGTGGAGCAGGGTCTGTTGCATTTAACGCTGTTGTAGCCCTGTAGGATTTTAAACACTGGATTATCTCTGTTCGTTGTCGGCGGTATTCCAGTGTGGGTAGGCCTAGGTGTACTAGTCGCTCTGGGTAGGATTTATTGGAAGTGCCTTGCACCAGTCTCATGGCCCGACGCTGGACTTGTTCAATTGCATCCTTCTCCCGTTTGAATTTAGTTGACCATATGGCTGAAGCGTACTCCAGATGAGGGCGGACGAGTCCCTTGTAGAGGTGTAAAAATGATGTCTTGACCATTGCTTTAAAGGTGTGTTTGATAGCACCAGTGTGCGGTTGGCCTTGCTCACTTGAGTTTGAATGTGTTTTTGGAAGCTCAGTTTATGGTCGATCACTACACCAAGATATTTCTCTGCTTCTGTTGATTCGAGGGTATGTGTAACTCCGTCTGCACTGATCATTGTGTAGGTCAGAATGGGGTTGTTGTGTCCGAGGTGCAAGACTTTTCTCGGGGTGGAAGCGCATTTGCATCAGAACTGACCAGGCCTGGAGTTGATCTAGATCAGTTTGAAGACTTGTGTGTTGATGTTTGTGGGTGTCCAATATGGCTTGGTAGATTTTTGTATCGTCGGCGAACATGGATATGAAGCTACTGAGGAGACTGGGAATGTCACTGACAAAGAGGATGAACAGTAGCGGGCCCAGGACGGAACCCTGTGGGACACCGCTAGTTACTTCAGTAATGGATTACTAAGCTCAAGACTTCAATGGAAACGGCACGGAGGACCACCAGCTAGATGGGCGGTGGTGGGGTTGCGTGAGTTGTGGGGACAAAGGAACCGCCGGCTTCTCGCCACGCTTCCATGTCTGTTGTTGACTTTGTTTTGGGGATTTGTTTGTTTGTCATCAGACTGTTTTGCATTACTTTAAGGAACTTTTGTAACTGATGGGACTCGGGGTTTGAGTGATATTTTGCAAATGTTTAATTTATTATGCCGGAGTAGAGCGGTAGCGTCACGGTTTTTGTTTTGTGTGCTGCAACCCGTATGCCGTAGGAGTTTGCTTTTTAATATACGGTGTTATATTTAACTGACATGTGTGGTTTCTTTTGTGTCTAAGGTGGTCCATCATTGTATCGAATAGAGAAGACCTTTCAGCGTGTTTTTGTACCTCCAACTGTTATGCAGTCAGATGGAGTGTCTGTATACCTACCAATTCAGATCCGCCAGTGTCCTTTAATTTTAGCGTTTGTACCTTTCCCTGTTTAGGTTAATATAATTAGGTGAATTGTTACAAGTGTTTGGTGATATCTTTTAGTCAAAATGTTTACCCTATTCACATGTAGCGTCTCACTGGACTGATGTATGTGAATGGAGAGACTTAAAGCTAGCGTTGGTAATCTTGAGAAACCAATAAGAGTATGCTAGATTTTAAAAATCATTCAACCAAAAACCCATTTCAGTGTTGCCAACACTTTTTCAATTAAAGTAGCTAGCAGTACTAGCTCCCAAAGTTGCTACATGTACAGAGAAAGTCGCCAAGTGTGCAACACTGACAGCCCTTCCATGCAGGCCTCCTTCCAAATCTAATCCAACAAAATGTTCATTATGAACATAAACTTGTCATAATAAACTTTAACTACAAACATGGCCCTTGTCAGTACTCACAGCTGTCAAGACTCCGGTAACGAACAATGAGTGCACGGCCAGATTGCAAACAGGTAGATCAGGTAGCAGGTAGCCGTCCAATCATTACATTCAGGCAAAATAAAATGATTGGATGGTCTTATTAGAGTCCTTTGACAGCCACAGATAACAGAATTTTTTTTTTGTCAAAGCATTTTGATTTGGCTGTAATGAGAATTTTAACAAAAATACCAGAAATGTTTTAAAAGATTACCAACCCTGCCTTTTACATTGGCTAGAATTAAACACCATTATCCAACTATGACTACCAAAGTTGTCACCATATTTCATAAAATATAAAGTATTCTAGCGGCTGAAACATTACCTTTACCAATAAAAGGAATGGTTACGCTTTAATTGCACCAAAATAGTCAGGGAGTGTGAAAGACCCAACACTGTAAGATCATAAGTGTGTTCCAACATTGATTGCTGAAGGGAATTCTGATGCTTCTACTTCTATTTGGGAGGATAATCATGCTCTACGTTTTGTAACTACAGTTCCCACAATGCATTGGGAGATGCACACCTTGAGCCCCGTTGTTATAAACAGATGTTGAAGCTATTAGCAGTTCCTGATTGCACTGTACCCATTGCTTACATTGAACGGACTTTACCCTGCCAGTCTGTGTAACGTCCCATTGAGTGTGAAGAGAGCGGCTTTGTTCACGCCTGCTGCAGGGATGACCTATTTTTGTAGGCTAACCCCAAAGTTAGCATCGCTCTGGTTCCCTCAATAAAAAGCCAATGGGACTTTTTGGATTATTGCCAAAAATAATCTGGCGGCAAACAAACATTCATGATACTGACATGTCCACAAAAAAAAAGCCAATGCTAGGCTATAAACAAACTACACAACGGTCACATGAGCGTGAGCACAAACACAATAAGGCGGAATAGCTGGCATGATGACGGTTAGTAGTCTTATTCAGTCACTTGTCAGTAGCCGCCTTTTTAAAGACAGACAATTCTCAAAATTCTAAACATACTTGACTGCTCTTTGAGTGAACTTGTTGTCAAAAGCACAGTCAGAACCCATTAACCCACCCGCCTGTGGTGTGGATACATTGAAAGTAATGAAATGTTTCAGTCTTGAAAACAGGAAGAGTTTGTAGAGTTACCTGCATGACTGCATCAGACCAGCCAGACTCTGAAAAAAGCCCACGTCCTTTTTGTCTTTCAGATAATCCAACATTTTCTGTCAAAGAGACAGGACAATGGGACAGCTGAGTTCTATTTTAGACCAAATTCTGCTTTGAAACAACTACAGGAGGTGGACACGATATGGTATGAATAACTATACAACTGTGGTCTTAAGGAACGCTTAAATACCTGCTGTACAGTAGAGTTTCCTCCATTGAGAATAGCTATGCCCAGCTTCAGAGTAGAGGCCACCATGGGACCCATCTCACCTTGTGAAGAGGAACCACACATAGACACACAACTTTATCTACCAGGGCGCACCCAACAAACAATCAATGCACTTTTACATTTACTAACTTAGCTCCCACTCTCATGCAGAGAAGACTTAAACATGCAGCAATAAAGTCACTCTATATTCTTCAATAACATTTCAGTTCAAATGTGTTGTGGACCATTCAGTGAATCATTAATATCCTGTAGAACCATGTTTGCTCAAGTTGTCTAATCAAAGTTTGTATAGTCAATAGATGTAAACGAATGCTTGCCGACTGTGAAATTTGTGCACTTTCAAATAGGCTTTAGAGTGCTGTCAACAAGCAAGTGAGCTCCTTCTTACTCCAGCTTTGAAAAATAAAACATGTTTGCTGACTTAAGCTTACACCTACACGCATAAACCTGAGCCCTGAAAGTGACAATATGGCACATTTTACTAACTAGTAGTGTAATAGAACAGTAGTTACAGTGGGAGGCAGGGTGGGGGATGAGTGCGTAAAACCTACCTTTGCTAGCACTGATGGTTTGCAGCACCATCTCAGCAGCTCCGCGGTCATGCAGCCGAGCCTGCTGGTACAACAGCTTCTGCTTCTCCATCTCCTTCTCCTATTCATGTAACAAAACCACACACACGTCAGCAGCATGCTCGTTTACAGCCGAGACCGTCATGGACGACGGGTAGGCGGAAGTGAGTGACTGATGGCCTACCTCAAAACTCTTTACTTCCTCTCCATCCTCATCTTCTTCATCATGGCAACTCTGAGGGAGCGAAGAGTGATACAAAATGAGAGTTACATGTCGACAGCAGAGACATGTTGCAAAAGGAGGAATCATCATCATCGTCATCGTCACTGGTACCTTAGCCATGATGTCAGCATAAGCCATGTAGAGAATATCCTCATCCAGTTTACTGAAACACACACACACACACACACACACACACACATTAGCGACAGCAGTAAATGTTTAGTATGACTAGCAAGACAGAAGACAGCCCTTGTTTTACTAGACGTGTGAAAATGCAGTTTGCTAGAATATGAACTATGACTTATGTCAGAGCAGAAACAATGGGTGGAGCCTTGTATCTTACATACAGTATACATACAGAACCCACCACTTCTCTGTGAGGGCTGTTCTGCTGAACAGTTGAATGAGCTGATGAAGTGGATCGATGTGTTTCACCCCCTCCTCTTCCTCCAATGGCTCTTTGTCACCTGGTTTCTAAAACATAAACATACATTTCCTTTCACAGGAGACTCAATGATGCACACTGGAAGAAAACTAAACAATAGCCCATTTTCAATATTCATATGTGGCCTAATGCCGTGTTCACACCAAACACGTGTTCACACCAAATACGCAGCGCGAATTCATCGCGCCGCATATTCGCGTCAATCGCGCCACCAGTCAAAATGCCGGGGACCAGTGTTCATTCGTGTGAATCGCGCGAATCGCGCTGGACGCGCCGGAGAGGGGGCGCGGCTTATCGCCCTGAAAGCCGTTCAACTGTCCGCCATTAACCATGAAAAAAATAACCCCTATTTCTGCTTAGTAGGTGTTGTGGAAGTCACAAATATCCCGGGAAACTAAACGCCGTCATGTCTGGTTCATAACATAGTCCAGAGGAGCTCCGTGGATTTTATCGAGCTGTGTTCACTGTGTCTAGCAAGCCACAGGTCGCTGTTTACTACAGCTGTATGAACACTAAATAAACTGATCTGGCTGTGATTTAACGGCAATAAACCGACAAAAAGGGACTCTGAAATAACTACGTAATGATGCCGATTTGTAGGCTACTTGTCTTCTCAATGGAGCTCGGATGGATCGGTGCTAGGCTATGCTAACATAGTAGCAGCTCCACCAACACTCAGACTAACGTCATGTAGACGTAAATACGGCAGCGTCTATTCATTGTTTGTACCATATGGTTTACACACACATTTATACACATAGTTTGGTCTCTATTGATATAGCACTACTCATCAAGATGGCGCCGCGGACGGCTGCCTCGACGTGTTGGTGCGCATTGTTTTGTGTCGTTTTCGTCGTTAATTCAGTTTTATGCTGCGATACCCGGAGCTCTTTCACCAGAGATGAGCTCATAAACATCAGGGGAACAACTACAGCGGACTTAGTCCCAACTTTTCTGCTAACTTCTGTGAAATTACTGGACATTCTAGTCAAAGGTGCGCTCGCCTTAGCCCATGCAGTGAGACGACGTAGGAGAGGGAAACGGGCCGGCGTGCTCGTGCGTCTTCGCACACGTGGATTCCGCACACCACTGCCGGGCATATTTCTCTCAAACGTCCGCTCAGTGTGCAACAAACTGGATGAACTTCAGCTACTGGTGAGGAGAGACAGAGACTTTTCTTCATCCTCCGTTTTGTGCTTCACTGAGACCTGGCTCTGTGGATCGATTCCGGACTCTGCGCTCCAGCTGGCTGGCTACCAGCTGTTCAGAGCGGATCACGATACGGAGCTCTCCGGCAAATCGAAGGGTGGAGGAATCTGTTTCTACTCCAACAGTGGCTGGTGCAACGATGTGACAGTGATTCTCCAGCACTGTTCTCCTGATCTGGAATATTTTATCATTAACTGCAAACCCTTTTACTCCCCCCGTGAGTTTGCTTCATTTATACTGGTCGGTGTTTACATGCCGCCGCAGGGCAATGTGCAGGAGGCACAGCGGACACTCGCCGAACAGATACTGTGTGTGGAGCAGACCTACCCGGACTCTCTAGTTATTGTCCTTGGTGACTTTAACAAAGGAAACCTCAGCCATGAACTCCCCAAATACAGACAGTTTATTAAATGCTCAACCAGAGAGGAGAACATTCTGGACCACTGTTACACCACAATCAGCAGGGCCTATCACGCCGTCCCTCGTGCTGCACTGGGTCTCTCTGACCACGTCATGGTCCATCTGATTCCTTCATACAGGCAGAAACTCAAGCTCTGTAAACCTGTGGTGAGGAAATTCAAGAAGTGGACCAGTGAAGCTATGGAGGATCTTCGGGCGTGCTTCGACTGCACAGACTGGGATGTATTCAGGACTGCTACCAACAGTCTGGATGAGTACACAGAGGCTGTGACTTCATACTGTATATCAGCTTCTGTGAGGACAGCTGTGTTCCATCAAGCACCAGGGTGAGTTACAATAACGACAAACCCTGGTTTACAGCGGAACTCAGAAAGCTAAGACTGCAAAAGTATCAGGCTTTTAGGAGTGGGGACAAATATAAAGAGTCAAAATACAGGTTTAGTAAGGCGGTGAGAGATGCTAAACATCTGTACTCTGAGAAACTGCAACACCAGCTCTCAGCAAGTGACTCTGCTTCTGTCTGGAGAGGCGTTAGACAGATCACCAATTACAAGCCTAAAACCCCCCACTCCATGAACGACCTCCGCCTGGCAGACAAGCTGAACGAGCTCTACTGTCGCTTTGATGGACAATGGGACAGCCCTGACTCCATCCCCCACAGCTCCATCAACCAGCCCCAGACCACCAGGTCCCCCTCCCCCATCCCAGCAGGGGTCCACGCCTCTGTATCACCCATCACAGTGTCCCCCCCACCCCCCTCCACAGTGATGACTTTCTCTATCCTGGAGAGTGACGTCAACAGGCTCTTTAAAAAACAAAACTCCCGCAAAGCAGCTGGCCCAGACTCTGTCTCCCCCTCCACCCTGAAGCATTGTGCCGATCAGCTGTCTCCGGTGTTTACAGACATATTCAACACCTCCCTGGAGACATGCCACATACCAGCCTGCTTCAAGGTCTCCACCATCATCCCCGTCCCCAAAAAAACAAGGATCACAGGACTTAATGACTACAGGCCCGTCGCCCTGACCTCTGTGGTCATGAAGTCTTTTGAGCGCCTTGTCCTGTCTCACCTTAAGACCCACTCCTGGACCCCCTGCAGTTCGCCTACAGAGCCAACAGGTCTGTTGACGACGCAGTTAACTTGGCCCTTCATTTCATCCTCCAGCATCTGGACTCCCCAGGAACCTACGCCAGGATCCTGTTTGTGGACTTCAGCTCTGCCTTTAACACCATCATCCCATCTTTGCTGCAGGACAAGCTCTCCCAGCTGCACGTGCCCGACTCCACCTGCAAGTGGATCACAGACTTCCTGTCTGACAGGAAGCAGCACGTCAAGCTGGGAAAACACGTCTCAGCCTCCCGGACCATCAGCACCGGTTCCCCCCAAGGCTGCGTTCTTTCCCCTCTGCTCTTCTCCCTGTACACCAACAGCTGCACCTCCAGTCACCAGTCCGTCAAGCTCCTGAAGTTCGCGGATGACACCACCCTCATTGGACTCATCTCTGGTGGGGATGAGTCCGCCTACAGGTGGGAGACTGACCTGATCTGGTGACCTGGTGCGGTCTGAACAACTTGGAGCTCAACGCTCGAAAGACAGTGGAGATGGTTGTGGATTTCCGGAAGAATGCAGCCCCACCAGCCCCTATCACCCTGTGTGACTCTCCCGTCGACGCGGTGGAGTCCTTCCGCTTCCTGGGCTCCATCATATCCCAGGACCTCAAGTGGGAGCTGAACATCAGCTCCATCACTAAAAAGGCTCAGCAGAGGATGTACTTCCTGAGGCAGCTGAAGAACCTCAACCTGCCAAAGACAATGATGGTGCATTTCTACACAGCCATCATTGAGTCCATCCTCTGCTCCTCCATCACAGTCTGGTACGCTGCAGCCACTGCCAAGGACAAGGGCAGGCTGCAGCTGATCATTCTCTCTGCTGAGAGGGTGATTGGCTGCAATCTGCTGTCCCTCCAGGACTTGTTCGCTTCAAGGTCCATGAAGCGAGCAAGGAAGATTGTAGCCGACCCCTCTCACCCTGGACAAAAACTGTTTGTGCCACTTCCATCTGGTAGGAGGCTGAGGTCCATCAGGACCAAGACCTCATGCCACACGAACAGCTTCTTCCCGTCCGCAGTCGGGCTCATTAACAGAGCCCGGGTCCCCCACTGACTCTGTCATCCCAGGACAAATTCCCACCGGTCACTCCCCTGCATCCCTTCTATTACACTCGACACTTTACACTACACTTACATCACACTTGTTTATAGTCCTGTCGTCTGTTCGTTGTTTATAGTCCTGTTATCTGTTCGTTTGTGCACTTTATTTTAGATTTCACTTTATTTTATATTTCATCTTTATTTTATTTTTCATTATTTTATATCTTACTTTATTTCATATTTCATATCTCTTGTACATTTTAATATGTTTCTACTTGCACTGATTGTTGTTGATTGTTAAATGTTTGCACCTCCCGTCACGCCAAATTCCTTGTATGTTCAACATACATGGCAATAAACGGTTCTGATTCTGATTCTGATATGAGGTATCGTAGAGCTCTGGGTGAACACAGACGGCTACAGTATTTATTTCCTGATTCAACAACGGCAGGACGTCACTGATGACAGGGGGAGCAACTCAACGCTGATAGGGGCTATCACGCCGGGGCGTAACGCGAATATTTCGCAGAAGTTGGAAAATGTAATCTACTCGCGCGATTAATTCGTGCCGCGTTTGGTGTGAACGCAGCATAAGACAGTCCAACAATATTGATAAACAAGTTTATCATCGTAAATATACCCTCATACTTGAGTCCTTGCTGTCGGCTTCCTGAAGCTATATTGCATCTACCAGCGACGCCATGTTTCGTTTTGTCAAGCTTGTAGGACCTAGCAACAGTAACTAAGGGGGGCGGGACTTTGGGAATTGGGAAAGATGTTCTAGATGACACTGAGTGAACCCTGGGTATTTGGGTACATTTTTTGTTTCACAACAGAGAACACTTCAATAGATAAAGCTTATTTGGGTGCAGAAAAGGAAAAGAAATACAGTCTCCCATTCATTATCTATGGAGCAGCTCCACACTTTATCCTCGTTGACATCATCGTCATTTATGTTTCCTTCTCTGGTGTCCGGCTTTGAGAGAAAGTAGCTCATGTTCTCTAATACTGCTTGAACTTCCCTCCGCCATGGACACAACATAATTAAACTCTTAATCTGGGTTGCGTTCCCCTAATCAAGAGTATAATTCCATCTGTTTTACATTCATGAACTCACAGCGAGGTCCTCTATGAGTTTATCTTCAAAGTAGTGTTCCTCTGCCTCGATCCAGGACTTCTCGTAGCCCTGCAGGAACAAGTTGACAGCCCGGTGCCTAGTTTGGGGGAGACACAGTAGGAATAAAAACTTTCCAACAAGATACGCCAGATGTACTGTACACACACACACATAACGTACCTGGGCAAGTTATAGAGCGGTGCCATCCTGAAGCAAGCAACCACTGCTCTCTTCCTCTGTTTGGACAGCAGCTTGTGCCACACGGCCTTCTTGCTGCGCTGAGGATGTTCAACCTAAACACACAAACTGAACCACTCAGTACGCCCGACTCTGGCGTCTGGAAGCCATAACGCCATAATCCAACAACTGCTCAGAGAAGTGCATTCAATCAGTACATCATTGTCTTCAAACAACAGACATGCTTGTGTCTATTTTTGCAGTTTTAACAATGGCCAATCACAACAGCTCTTCTAAGACAGCAGGACAGCTTCTCTTCATGGAAGAGCACAAAGATACTGTACATCAACCCAAATATGATTATATAGAGCTGTGGATATCATATGGATAGTTCCATAGCCTGCACTCTCTAAACTACTGAAATGCAATATTTCAGATATTGTCGGCTCTGTGTCATCAACAACACACACCCACTTACACACCTGGTCTAAGTGGAAGAGGACATGAGCGATCTCCAGGACTCTCTCCACAGTCTTCTCTGGGTCCGAGGTGTCCTCGTAGTGATTAGGGAGGTCTCTGTATAGAGCCATCTGCCAACGAATAGCTGGGTCCTCCAGCTGTACAAGGAACACACATACAGCTCACAAATATGAGGACATGGGTCCAGCACACCAAGGTGTTTGGAATTTTTAAAAATTTGATTCAAGTTTTGACTTTTCTATGTCATTTCAGTTGAGTTTCAGCTCTCTTTCTCACGTCGCTTGGTGTTTCACTATGTGAATCGCCTCTACGTGACCAACTATGGAAGCTCCAATTACACCGTGTCTGTCAGTGACAGACACAGTGGAACTGTGCTCGGGCTTGTACTCAGACTGCATGTGAAGAACGATAGGGATTAATTGCGTAGATGCGACATCTTCTGGAGTCTCAGTTCGGTTTTGTTTCTGTGGTTCAACGTCACGAGAGTTTACAGAAATTCATGCCGTCTCCTTTTTTGGGAGTGACATAAAACTGAGATGAATGAAGGTTTATTTGTATCGTGCTTTTATTCGTTTTTTTACCAGGCAATATGGTTTCAGTATAATTTTAGTTTTTATTAAAGGACATCTTTTTATTTAGTTTGAGTTTCAATAATATTTTTCCCAGCTTACTTTAATTTCAGTTTTAGTTCACAATTATAACTTAGCTGCTCACTTCTATGAGCACTCAGGTCAGTTGTATGCGGTGGATTTGAGCCATTCAGACTATCCCCTACAAACCGTATACACTTCTCTGTTGCCTGAATATAAAGCATGACGTCATGTTCAGCTTATCCCAAATATTCTTGCAGTACCGTGACTCTGTTAAATACCAGCTCAAAGTATTCTTACCTTTCCTTGTAAATGGAGATTGTTCCTGATGACCTCTCGAACCTCACCCTCTGTATCTTTCTGTGAACAGAGTGAATGCATCAGACAACGGTAACCATTTAATAACAGATGTGTCAGCACAATTTATATACAATTGCTTTACAGATATTTAAAGTGCTACAGGAATTGGAAATAACTTCTATGCATGCAGGACAAATATTTTGGGGCTAAGTCATTGAGGGATTTCTATAAAAGCAGCATTGTAAGCGACCAGTGTGATGTGCATAGAGCTGTGTATAATTCTGTCATTTGAACATGATTTAAACACAGTGGACGGCCGTCGGAAACGGCACTGCGCTCTGATGTGTCACTTCTCGGATCAGAGGCTGCAGATTTATCAGCATATGTGTCCTGCTGCCGTCAGATTGATGCAGGGATTAAATGAACTGAAGGTTCAGAGAGTTTGTCACAGTAGATAGAGCGAGGGAGAGAGACACACAACTGCCTCATAATGATCGATGAATAAAAAGAGAAAAAGAATAATCTCGTCACGTAGAAACGTGGACCTCTCTCTCAGCAAGACAACCTACAGTATGTCGGCTGTTGCATACAAATAATGATCAGCAGGCCAAGTCATTTACAATTAGTGGCAATATGATAGGTTCATGTCCATTTCTGGTAGGCTCAGATTGATTGATTGATTTCTTTATGTGCATAAAATGCCAAATCCTCCTGGGTTTATGAGACATTAAAGATACAGCGGCAGTGGTGGAACACTTCATTCAATTACCAAACTAAATATTCGGCCTTCCCTCCCAGGTTTGGCAAATAAAATCTGCTACAAAAAAGGTTTGTTTCCTGAAGCACAACTCAAGTTTTTTATAGTCAGCCAGCCAAAAGAAATCAACATAAATTGAGGTAATTTTACTATCGAGTACATCCGTTATGTCCTCGTAGATAGGACAATAAAACAAAAGACAATACATTTGGTCCGAATCTGGAATGACAAATCGTCGATTTGAAACAGAGATTTCAAATCCTTAGCCAGGGGATAGCCATGCAAAATGTCCCAATTAAATCACTTTTTAGTTGCTCTCTGATCAGACAAGTCTATTCCAGCATCAAAGCATTTGACACTTGTGAAGTAAATTTGTGAAGGATTGAATAACTCTGTGATGCACAGTGTTACAACTCGTATGGTCACCAGAAACATAGTCAGACACAGGACATACACATGAGTTACATAGTTGTGTGTACGTATGGAATACACGTACAGAGATTCCAGTGCTCTACCCGCTGACTGAGCTACAATACTGACAGCTTCTTTAAATTTCATTTTGAGCATCGTGCCAAGATATTTATACTGCTCAGTATATGAAAGCACTAGTGAACCGAAGCTAAAAACAAGTGATCTGCTCTCTTCAATACTGGAAGAGTTATTGTGTTAATGGAGATTTTCCATAGGCTTACCAATATTTACTGCCAAAAACTACTGAAACTGAAAAAGGAATTAATATATTGTTATCTTATATCAACTCATTTGTGTTGGCATATGATGCAACTTGAAAATTGAAGCGACCGTTTGACCTGAAATCCAGGTGAGGGTTGTTGTATTGTAATGGGAAAATATGTTATCGTATCATGTGAAGTTTTAAAGAATGTACAACTGAAAGTGATGAACACAGACAGAGACAGAACAGCAGTTCTGCAGATGATTTTAATTAGTTTTGTATCCAGGTGTCCCGTTATCTCATCCCACAAGGATGAGAAGTGAAGAGACACTGTTGTCTTTGTCTGCAAGACAAAGATTGAGACAGACCTTGAAACCGGAACTGAATGTCCTGGCAGAAACAGCCTGTGTCTGAAATACCCATACTCCCCTTTTAACACATTATCTGAAGTTGTAAAGGCGTGAACCTTTTGTATGCATAAATGATGTTGAATGTTGCACTTTGTCGAAGCATTCACACAGTCTACTGAATACGTAGTTGCTGTGCTTTCTTCCCTCTTGCAAGAGAATAAACGGAAAAAGACAACTTTGAATCTTCTGATGACTTCATTATTGATTTGTGAACAAAAACTCTCTTCTCCCGATTAACCTAGAAATTTTCCACCACAATATACAGTCTATGTAGTAGTATGGAAGTGTCTCCTACTTCTCATAAGCTAGTAGACAGTGTTTTCCTACCTGGGTGAAGCGGTTCTTCGCCAGTGCAATGAGCTCTTGTTCTCCGGGGGCACAGATGTTGAGTCCAACAGGAAGCAGGCGCTTCAGGGTAGCAACGATAAGACTCGTTTGCATCGTGTATCGATCTCCCTTCCTCTTCATCTTCTTCCTCTCCTGGTCTGAAACTATACCCTGAGGCAGAGAAATGCACAGACAGGTATATTAAGTGTGTGTTATGTTATTCTTTATAATTCATTGTGCATTAACGCACACGTAACAAGCAATCCACAGGACACTTCTGATGTCCATGTGTCCATACCTTTGACATCTTACACTTGGTGTCAGTGATGAGGAAGGACATGTTGTTGATTTCATTCTGGACCACAAAGTTCTGCTCTTCTCTCTTGAAGTTCTGCAGATAGATGACACCATTCGTCACTCCGCGGTCACAATGTCGTGCCGTCTGATGCGGTAATAGCTTCAGACAGCTTGGGTTAATAACAGGGTCAGGTATGTAAATACACTGTGATGGTTCAGTGACTGCTGGCCTAAATATTTCATAACAAAATGTACACTACATTCCAATAGGCTGCCATTTTTGGCATGTGTAAAACATTTCTGGGGCTTCATATTGTGGCCAGCAAATAAATGACATAAATATGTCTTTACGCAACTCTTGGTGGTTTTCAGTGATGGTAATGTGTGACAGTCTGTCGGTTGGCTGGGCAACCACTTTGGTCAAGACTGAAACGGATTGCCTTTATATTTTGGAGACATTGATGACCATGAGAGGATAAACCCTACTGACTTTTTATCTAACGCCGTTATCAGGTAAAAAATGTTATTAGTTCTATACTTTAGTTTATGAACAAATGCTGCAAAACAAATGACTTTACAATCAACCTCAGCTCTACTTAATGTTTAGTGCTAAATAGCAAATGTTAGCATGCAAACATCTAGACTAAGACATTGGTAAACATTGTATCTGCTAAACATCAGCATCTTAGCATTGTCAGAGCTGTGAGCTCGGCTGTAGACTCTTGATACTGATATTTATAATTCATGACTCAAATTGAGATTTGAGGTTATGTTTTTCTGAGCCTAGGGAGAATGTGTGGTCTGCAGTTCCACATTTATCCAATAGGTCCATGGAGCTGCAGACTGGACCAGTCCAGGGAGTCATTTGATTCAGTATTATTTATCTGAAATACCAATACGTGGGTTTTAGGAACCTGGTACAAATGACGATGTGCTCTGTCATTCAGTCTATCATTAGATCTTGTGTAGCGCTCCCTTGACTACCTCTCACTGTGACATTTTAAATCAGCAGCATGTAATGTGGTGATTTGCTTACATGAGACTTGGCCCAGAAGATGAAAACCTCTGCCACCATGCGGAACAGCTCTTCAGCCCCTGGGTTGGACTCTTTCAGCCATCTGGCCCTGTCAGTATACCAAGGCAGTTTAGTGATAGTGGCACTACTTAAAGGTTTGCTGTGGAGTTATAGACCTCTAGTAGCGCTATGGAGGAGGTGGTAACATGCCAAGATATGCAGCAATGTGCCAACAAAGTCAGGGAAGAAGAAGACTGCAAGCTAGTACACATGTAAACAATGCAGGACTTAAAATATTTAAAGTTACTACAAGGAGCTTTCATTTTGTGTGGACTTTGGCGGCCCCTGTGGACAAAAGCGGTAGTGTTTCCATGAGCACCACCGCCTTGTGTTGTAAAGATATGCAGCCGCCAGACTCCCTTTAGAAAACGTCTCATTTTACTGCAGCAGGGTCTGAAGTTCTTCCCCGCTCAATCCTGCTTCTGGTTCTTCCGTTCCTCCGTTCCCTCCAGCGCGCTCAGCAATTCGTCCTGGGACCTACAGAAGTGGGTGTTGGCCCCCAGGGTGGTAAACTCCAGGTTCTGCAGCCGCAGACGGACCCCGCTGCAGCTTCTGTCGGTGCGCCAGCACCCACGGTGGAACTTCTTTCCAAAGTCTATGTGCAGGTCGTCCTGGACTATGTGAAAGATCCTCCCGACCACCACCTTGCATTTGGACAGTCCCATCTGGACCAGCAGACCGGAGGAGGAGCCGGATCTGGGTCTGTATGCTTACACTTGCTTAATTAGGTCATATAAGTATTACATTGAGACTGTTTCATAACCAGTTAAAAGATCTTTGTAGCAACAAGGATGGAAATGCATGTTTGTTAGAGCTCAAGGATATGAGCACAATGTGGTGTGGTGAGTAACACTGAATGTAAACTTCTGTTCATTTCCAAGAAAACTCCACAAAGTGCTTTGTTATGCTTAAAGGGACTTAAGCATAACAAAGCACTTATGTTGTAGACACCAACTATCGATGTCCATAAACGTCATCCTTTCTCCAGAATACAGCCCATATGCAGCTTACTTTAAGTTATTCAGCATCTGCAGGATAAGCATAGAGGCAAGGATCACATAGTTGTAATTTCACACCTGAAAGTGATGTTGGTCATATTTGCTGTTTCAGAAGAAATGCTCAGGTTTAAGTAGAGAAGCGTCGGAACCATCAAATCAGCGCACTGTACCTGTTGTAGTCAACAAATCGTATGAGGAGAGGGTAGAAGGCATACAGGTCTCGGACCAGTATGGTGAACTGGTCCATGATGAGAAGCTCCGTCTCTGACATCTCTCCCCTCCCCTCTGCCTTGCTGTGTTCCTCATCCATCAGCACAACTGCTGCCTTCTGCAGGACACAGCAACACACCGCTTTCTCTTCATTTGAACACTAATTACATTGTGATCTTAGTACTAGTTGTACTATAGTAGTACTAGTACTAGTTGTACTATAATCCTACTTTGCAAAAACGCCGCACTAGACTTACAAACTTACAGTCAAAGTATTCAACCCGTTGCTTGCAAACGTCTGATAGCTTAGGGCCGTGTTACATGTCTATTTTTTTTATTTTAATTTTGGAGGGATAGTCAACAGTCAAACTGTAAGTGCTATATGTGTGTGCTGAATGTCCACCAATATTCGAATGAACTACAGCACAATCTATATTACATGATGAAATGACGAGACTTACTTTTTTGAGTTTCTCCATCAAAGGCAGGAAGTGGGTCTTGAGCAGCTGGGTTTTGGCCTTGCTGATGATTGGCTGAGAGAAGACTAAAGCAGGGACAGAGATGGGGTTTAACGATTGAGCATCGGACAAAGATTTTGCTTTTAGCTTCGTTGTTTAGTTGGCGTTCATTGTGTTTAGTTCGATTCAGTGGCAGTGTGTGTCTGTGTGTGTGCGTATGTTTTTAGAACCTTGTAAACCCACCTTGAATTGTATTTAAAACAAGACAAACAAACATAGTGAAACAAAACCGTGAATTTAAAATTGCATATTACTAGAATAGAGAACCCTTACTGTTGGGCTTTTCACATTGCACACTCTCTGAGCCCAGGGCTAAGGATAGCCTGAGCACAGTGGGACAAGGTCTATACATAACATTGTAATTCATGAAGTCATCGCTATTTGTGAAGCACATTTCATGGTAAACATATTTGGAGGGACATAAGTGAGAGTGAAAGAGAGAGATAGAGAGAGATACTGTGGAGCAGTCACAGAGATGCAACTTTAAAGACACACACACACACACATACATGCAGAGTGTGTTGCCATATTCACCAGCTAGTCTTTTCATCCAGGCCCCTTCATCTATTCCCAGGTTGTTGTAGATGATCTTGAGAATGTTTCCCAGCAGAGTGTTCATGTGCTCAGAAGTCACAGAGGTGCAGCAGCTGTCGGCCTTGTCCTGGTTGCTCTCTGGTCCATGTTCCCACCAGTGAGACATGTAGCTGCACAGCATCGGCAACACCACCTACAGTGAAAGGAAACATACATACTTCAGGTTTACCTATCAAGAGATCACCCACTTCCCCATCCTGACATAATGCTTTGTTAAAAATGTATAAACAGTCAAAATATAAAAATTATAATACAATATAAGCAATAAAATAGGCAATAAGATAGAATAAACTATATAAAAGTAACGTAAGTAATGACATGAAAGGAAAAACTAATTATATTTTCAAGGAATATAGGGTTACATGCATATAAACATGTAACACCAGTGTTTTAAAACGACTGTGCAAACAGTAAACGTTGTTTATTGTGTGAATGAGGGTAATGTAGATGTAGTGGTATTGTAACCGTATATTCCTGCTGTAGAATTCGGCATTTTAACACAGGAGTCTACAGGGATTGACTCACTCTTAGAGCCAGCCTCAAGTGGCCATTTGAGGAAATTCAGAAGGTGGTGCTACAGCACCCCCACCTCAAGTTGCCCCGCCCCCACTGACAAGTGGCTGACGCATGCTATATTTTCACATTTTGTTTTTATTTTACTTCCTTACCAAGACAGACTACAGCAGTGCCGTAAACGGAACTATTCAGGTGGAGACGGGAGAAGGTCGTGCACATCCCGTGCCAGTAATGTTTCCAGTCAGGATTCTTTCTATTGCTCCTCTGTAAAAGTTGACAAGAACTTCGAAGAGGAATTTTGCCTTCTTAGGCTTCCTTAACCGGGGCAGAGGTGTGATATGACCATAACAGGTTATCTGTGATGCTGACTCCCTAGGAACAATGAACCCGCACTGATACAGTGAGCAGTACTAGGGTTCAATCAACAGAGGCTTAACATCTCGAATTTCCAATAAGCAATCTCTGGCTGTGTCGATGGAGTACTGAGTGTGCACTAACTACCACTCCATAAGGTCAAGCTGTAGATACAGAGAGTACATATGAATATTCTCATATTGAGTTTCATTAATCTGCGTTTAACCCATTAAACTAGTAGCAGTGGGCAGCCAGCATTGCTGAAGAATTATCTTGGGTAAAGTGTCAATGGAAAGAGAATTTCTAATAACTCGCATGGATGATTTTGGTAATGAGAAGAAATCAGAGCACTGTGAGGAAAAAATAAATCCAGATGGATATGGGTACCAAAGACCCAATAATGTTAATTAGTAATATATCCCACCTCCATGACATGGGGCATCTGAGTGTATCTCATGCCAGACTCTGCCAACTCCATGATCTCCTCCAGACACTTCTCTAAGTTTGGGATCAGAGGACAAACCTCCCCCACCTGCCCTGGAAGACCTAGAGCTGATAGGTAGAAATATAATGCACTTAAAAGATGAATATAAACATGAATATATAGCTCAATCATCATTATTATTACACATAAATGCTGTTCCGTGTTTTGTTTTTTTTGCCTCGGTAAGAAAAATCGAGTTAGCCCGCCTGCTAACGTTAGCACGGACTTCCATTTCAACACCTGCTGAGTCATTGGTAGCTGTACAGCCAGTGCTGTGTTCAGACTCCGTTAGAAAGGAGGACAGTTATCCATCTGTCTGGGATGGCCAATGACCAGACTGTCAAAGCTAACAGCAACAGATCTGTAACCTCAGCACCTACAGTAACCCTACAGAGTCACACGGTAACATACAATGTGCTCGGTTGCATTGAGAGTGAATGTAATTCTCAGAAAATACAATTACCTCAGGACTTATATGTCTTGGTGGGATTCAACCCCTTCATATTTGTAAAAATGTAAATCCACGGAGCAGATGAACATTGAAATAAAAAGCACATTCATTAGAACCTGCTCTGTCTTGAGCTTCTTTGCTGTTGTAGATGGAGAAGCTGTTGAACTTGTTGATGTGAGGCTCAAGGAAGGCAACAGGAAAGGCTGCTGAGAAGGCAGCTAAACACTTTCCTAATGCTGGACGCTGTCTGAAGAGGAGAGGATCAAAAGATGATTATTACATTATTTTCATTAGTATCATTATCGCTATATTACATTCTTTGATAAATCGTAAATCATTGATTATTTAATGTCAACAATAAGCAATTTTGTCTAAAAGCACATAGATCTCAAACTTAGTGTTAAATGTGTTGTTGGCCTTTGATCAGCTCTCAGAAATACCATCACTAAATAGATATATAATACACAAAATATATAAAAAAAAATATATAAATAAACATACAGAAATAAAGGAAAAAATGACTTGAAATGTATACAATTGTCATTTTGTTATTTTTCTATATATTTACAAGTTATATATTATAAATATATTTTGTATTTTCTTATTATTTTACAGATTTCTTATTTTTTATGGCTCATGTAGAAAGAAAGAAAACTCAGAGTAAACTGTGCTGATTGAAAGTTGTATTCGACATTCTCTGTAAATTCAAATGCTCCTCACAGTACATGTAAACCTACATACACTGTAGCAGGTTTCTGTATCATAAGTACTGTGGGCTATACTGTACCTCTCTACATAGATGCTTTTGTTGGTTCCCAGAAAGAAGAGGCTGTTGAGGATTCTGTAGCAGGAAACCTGGACATCATCCACTGGAAGAGGAAAGAATGTTTGCATCTTACATTTTGATGGAGTGTATTCACATTGTTGTCCTGTAAATGATCAGTGAAACAGTATTCTATTTCATGAAGGACATCTGCCATTATGATTCAGATACAATCTTTTACCTAATTTGGAATGCATTTTTTTTCCTCCTTGGTGAAAACATTTGAATGCCCGAATCAAACAGTACCACAAGTCAGTACGCACATATGAGGTCTTCTCCGAACAAGTTCTGTCCGATGTGTTCAAACAGGGAGGAGAGGATGGGCAGCAGGGCGAAGGTGGTGTAGTTGATGATCTGGGTGACCCCTCGCGGCTGCTCTCTGCTGTGGGTGAACTGGCCGAGCTTCAGGTTCTCCTGCGTCTTCTCCAGATCTTCTGCTGCACTGTCAAAGAACAACCGCAGTGCTGCCTTCACTGACTCCAGACCAGTCTTCATCACCGTCCTGACATATGGGGAGAGATACATTTCACTTTATTATCTTGAGAAGAACCAGCTGAATTTGTGATACACAGTGCAGATAACACATACATTCTACTAATGTAGAAAACAATGTGAACTTCCCTTAAATTAAAATGAATCTCTGATTTGTAGAATTTCTTATAGTAAGTTTTAAGGCAGTGATTACTTTGCTTTTAGGTTTTCAAATACAATCATATATCCTTGAAGTGGAATGTTTGGACTCTATTTGTTTCAGTCTCATTGCCAGCATGCAGAAACTAAAGAGACATCAATGTGAAGGAATGATTTATATGTGGTTGAATAGAAGGAATACTTGGAGTCAAGTCCCTCAGCATAGTGATCGGTGGTTTGTCTACTTCTAGAATGAGAATGATTTGACTTCTATCTACTTCTGGGTTCAATGTACAGTTAAAGTAACAGAAGCGCACTGAATAATGACATAATTCCTGGGTTTGTCTTTAATTAGCAGACATCACATGAAATAACAGTGGCTCAGGAAGGAGCGCAGCCATCCAGTAATCAGAGGCTTCCTGATAGCCAATGAGTCTGAACTGTTAATGAATATGTGCAGGTTCAGTTGCTGTTTGTTATTCCAGTTGAGTTGGAATGTATGCATGGGCATGTTTAACTTCATGTAAATGAGGGCGAAATTCGGCTGGTGGTCACACAATGTTCCTCTTTTCTGTGTCGCTGGCCTCCAGGATACAAAGAACAACAAAGCGCCGAGGTAAACTGTGGGCCAAAAAGCAGGTTTGCTTATTCACACCGTGTTTGCTAATGAGAAAGCTACTCATAAATGCCGGGAGTGTTGACACGTCCACTGTGGCAAGTGAGAACGCGAGGAGGCTTTGTTAACCGATTTGTTCACTTCCAGAAGGTCTTCTTCTTCAGAGCATCGTCAGTATTCATCTTTAACTCCATGGGACAACATGCATAGTATGTGTCCTTCAACTACATCTTCCCTGGTGGAAAGACAAAAGGACAGACACATACACACACACAAGCTCAATCCATGTCTCCTTACCTGGCATCCAGGCTTTGTCCCAATATCTGCAGACAGTTGACTATGGATGTGGCATTGTTACCTGAAAAGTAGACAGAATCATATAATAAACAGAAAACCCCAGGTGCATGCTGGGTGGGGTTTGACGTTCCTTTCATTCAGGTATGGGAAGTCAAGCACACGAATACAACAAAACAACCGCCTTGTTCAAACCAATAGTACTTTAGTTTAGTAAATAACACAGCAGAGCATCATATTCAAAGAAAAAACAGGTTCCTTTCAAACTAAAAGCTTCAGAAGTCTAATAGCCTAATCAACACCAATAATCAACATCTTTCATTTGTCCAAATGTGTCTGTCTGTTATCAGTTGTATCAGGTGTTATTCTGCAAAGATGGAACATCTTTTTGACTTTGAATAGAATGACATCAGCATTTGGATATTGTGCAAGAAGTGGCAATACACACCACACACCACACAGAGCTGCTGAGCAGAGGACGCGTACACACACAACTATAATACCATGCATGCATGCACACAACAACCCTGCTCACACTATTTGCTGACGCTCTGGAGCTTTCTCGTGTCTGTCTTCTAACTGTGTCTCAGTCCCACACAAACATGTTACTGCCATTCAGGATCACAGCGTTTTATCTACAATAAGAGATGCATACCTCTATAGGATAACTGATTCTACCATGTGTCTCGCACAGAAGATGTTTCAGTGAACAGTAAGTTTAAATCTCCACTCAGTCCTCAGTACTTCAGAAACTAAGCAATCTGCCAACAAAGGCGGGGCAGAAGAAGACTGCTAGTAGGTAAACATGGATGGAAACAATGCAAATTTCAAACTTGTAAGAAAGCTCGTCCTTGAAAATGTTACATTAGGAAAGAAATGCATCCAACTAGCTACTTGCTAGTCCTCAAAGATGCACGCAATGTAAACAGTAACGTTAGATTGCAATTGAAATGACTTACAACAACTATTGCATGTCATTCACTGGTCGTACATACTTACTATAAGTAATGCACTATAATTCATTTAAATATCCCACATTATCAATTTGTTTGTAATAGTGTGCCTGGACAGGTGATGTAGTTTAAAGAGCAATAGGAAGGTGGAGATGGATGGGTGAGTCTAAAATGAGGGAATGCCCATTGTTTCCACGTCCCATCGTCCGAAAAATGTCCCACTGGTTTGAAAGCCTGTTATCTGGAAACAAACGACCATTTGTCCCGCGGGCCCACTGCTCCGAAAATACACACCTTCCATGCAAGACACAGAAGCTCATGGCTAATTATAATGCAGAATGATGTCATCGGACCTCCAAGATTTCTTTTTACTGGCAAAGGCATAACCCACCCTACTCTGCCTCGGATTACTCTTTGCCTTTGTTGGGTGGGTTGGTTAGGTTTAGGCATGAGGAGGGAGATTAGTAAGGTCAATTATCAGGGCAGATCAACCAAAGGCAGAGTAGGGGCGGGTGTGACATAAGCATTACTCCTGGGTCACCGCTGTATGAAACCATTCATACTGCACTCAGAACAACAGCAGAGAAGGGGCAGAAGAGGAAGTATTAGGCATGAACGTCCTTACCAAATAAGGATATCCTATGTCTGACAAGAACTCCCAGTTTGCAGAAAAGACTGGAAAAGTTTCAATGGAAGTAGAGAGGAGGAGGTAGAGAGGGAAACGGAGAAAACAGATAATAGAAAGGTGTGAGACAATGAACCCAGAGAGAGAGAGACAGAGGGAGAGCAGGGGAGATATAATGGCCCACAGCCTTTATACACATGTAGAAGATTTAAAATAGTAGTCTCCAACAATAAAACATGGGAGTGAGTGCTATAACCTGCAATACTGGCATCACTAACTTTCTATCTCTCTATTGCCACGTCATTGATCACACTCACCTGGTCACCATCTCCTTCTCCTTGTTGGAGGCATGGCCTCCGCTGCTGATTGGATGAATGGCTGTGGACAGGAAGTACAGCCGGTGGTTTTTAAAGTACTGATCTACCAATGGCAAGACGACCTGAGGGATAAATGGCATAAATACACAGAGGAATTACTGTCGGGCTGTGTTCGAAATCACATACTACACAACATATACAACAATAACAACAACAAATTTCTGCTTTTCTCACACTGCTTTTCTCAACAAAAAAACTCCAAGTTCAAAGTAAACCAAAATAACATGATGAGTTCTGACCTTTCCAAAGAACTTAATCTGTTGTTCATGAGGAATCTTCTCCCCCTTCGGTCTTGTTCCCAGATCTAAATGATGAGTAGAACACAATCAAAGACAGTACAGTCTGAATAGATATACATAGATATACAGTACATGGTGACATTCATCAGACACATTGCCTCAGGTGTTTAAGCTAGGAGCAAGATTTTTATCTCATTCCAAAAAATATTTATGCAGTTGAATTTGTGGTGCAAAGAGTCCATTGAAGAGAGTATTCAGTGTGACAGCCAATAACCCCCATTATTGAACAACTTCCAAAATCCACTGTTCTTCAGCAGCCACTATGTGCTTTCTTTTATCATTTTGCTACTACGGATCTCTACGAATCTAGACCAGAGTTCAGTTACATAAACTACAGTACTTGGCATGATCTTTGCATTACATTGATATAAAAACTCGTCATTTGTTTTTGACTAACAGAAAAGTCTCACCAAACTCCATCATGTGTTGGTGTGCCTGGTCTACGTATGTGATGAGCTGCTGGAGGAAGGTGTAGGCAAATCGTTTCTCGATAGCTGGAGTGTCCAGCTCCTGCGTGTTCACACCTCTGGAAACAACACGCACGCGCGCACACACACACACACACACACACACACACACACACACACACACACAC